TCCCCATCCCCCTTCAGCTCCCATCTCTCTGAAGCTTCATCTGCCTGACCACCTCGTTCATTTGCACCTTACCTTGTGCACCTACTATGTACCGACTCTGTGTTTGGCACCCGAGATACAGTAGAAACAAAATGAGTGTGGCTCCTCCTCTCTCTGAGCCCACAGAGCTGGGAGACATGGCTCAAACACACAAGGAACTGGGCAGGAGAACCAGAGGCCCTGACTCGTATTTTGCATGGAACCAGTAAGGGCGTGGAGAGAGAATGAGGTGGGGTGAAGGTACTTTCTAGACTCGAGAGTCAGGGAAGGCCTCTGAGGAGGTGACATCTGAGCAGAGATTTGAATCAGTAGAAGCAGCTGATATGTGAAGAATTGAGGGGGAATATTCCTGTGTGGCGGGAAAGAGCTGGGGGTGCTCATGAGGCAACCGGCATGCCTGAGGCAGGGTGAGGAGGCTGCAGGTTTGCCTGGAGCCTGAGGCAAATGAGGGGAGAGGAGACCTTGAAGAGATTTAGGGGGGCTGGGTGAAGCTATTGTATCTGGGTTCTTTAAAGGATGCCTCTGTGGTTCCCTCTCTGTGCTCCCTTTGTTCTGAGGATCTAGGAGCCTCTAATTCTGGGCTCTGTGTTTTCTCCTATTTTTTCTGTCTCTACCACGCAAAGACCAGTACTGAGCATGGGGCCCCTGTGACCTCTGAGGTTTTGGCTGAACCCAGGCAGGTTTAAATGAAGTGTGATCACAGAGCCCTGAGCCCCCAGATATGTGCCCCTCACCTCTGAGGAGCTGCAGCACCCACAGCGAGGGGACCCTGTGTTCAGAATTCACTCCCAGGATGGGCCCAGGAATGCATCTGTCTCCAAGTGGAGGAGGGGGCCTGAGGTGGTGGCAGTGTTAGCCACACGTCCCAGGAAGCCATCACCTGCTGTCTTGTTGACCAAATGACCGGTTGATTGAATGTCGTGCTTTTCACATGGTTGCTATGGACACGGACTTAGGATGGAAACAATTTGGACCTTGAATACACCAGGATTATAGAGCTGCCTGAGATGAAAAGGGTCCTGAAATCTCAACTCCGCCCAATGGGCAGGGCTGTGGGATATGGGCTCAAGAGTCAGATTCAGATTCATACCCACCTACTGGCTGTTGGAGCCTAGAGCAGGTGCCTTTAGCCATCCAAGCTGCTGCCTCTCTCATATGGGTGTAGTAGCGACCTATTCTACATAACTAATCATTCCAAAACTTGGCAGTGGCTTCAGACAACAAACATGTATTATCTCACAGAGTTACTCAAGGTCAGGAACCCAACAGCAGCCTCCCTGGGTGGTTCTGGCTCAGGCTCTGTCACGAGGTTGCAGTCAAGTTGTCACCTGGGGCATCAGCCATCTGATGATGGCTGGAGGATTCCCTTCCAAGGTGGCTCACTCATAGCACTGGCCAGTTAGCACTGGCTGTTGGAGGAGGCTTTGGTTCCTCACGCGTGGCCTTCTCCTTAGCACTGCTTGAGTGTCCTCACAACATGGTGGCTCACTTCTCCAAGAAAGCAAAGCAGAAGCTGCCGTGTCTCTCCTGATCTAGCCTCAGAAGTCACCCTCTATCATTTCCACAATATCCTATCAGTTACACAGGTCAACCCTACTCATGTGGGTGGGGAGAGGTGTACAAAGGTCACCAATATGGACGGCGGGTATCACGAGGGTGCATCTTGCAGGCTGACTACCATCATGGACTCAACATCTCCATAAGGTAGCGTTAATTGAGCTTACAAATGTGAAGTACCTGATGACAGTAAGCACTCAAGAAAGCATCACAGCTCCCCCCTTAGCCTTAGTAGCTTGAGTGGAAAACTTACCACCCTGTACCTGCCTCATGTTATTTCTTGGATCCCAGGTCTTTCACTGCTCTTTCATTTAACACAAGCTTTATATGCATCTACTGTATCCAGGCATTGGCTGGGTGCTAGTGACATAGCAGTGACCAAGATACACCCTGCCCTCATTTCCATGGGCTGCCTGGAGCCTACAGCCCGGCGATACAGTACAGAGGAGCTACTTTGGACGGCCTCTCTGTAGCCTGTGTGCTGAGACCTGAATGCAGGAGCATCGTATGTATGTGAGGCAGATGGGCCAGTCAGGGCAAAAGCGGGAGCACATGACCCAGGCTTGGGGGAAACAGAACCACAGAGCAAAGAGCCAGGGAGGTGGGGCAGGAAGTGAGGTGGGGAAGGCAGTCGTCTGGGTGAGAGACTGTGGCCTTGTGTGGGTGCTGAGAAGTGGTGAAACTCTGGGATGTGGAGAAGGTAGAGTTGTTTCTGGAGGGTTCGCTGTTGAATGGAATGCGGGGGTGGAGAGAGAGGAGTCAGGATGCCTCTGTTTTCTGAACTTGGCAAAGCAGCAGGATGTCGCCATCCTGAGCTGGGGTGAGGCAGACCAGGGAAGGAGCAGGTCAAGTGGGTGGGAGTTCATATGCTCGACCTTAGACCCTCGAGACATCCAGGGCAAGATGACAAAGAGGCAGTTAAAGATACGAGTCTGGTGTTGGAAAGAAAGATGGGGCGGAAGATGTAAATTTAGGAGTTGTCAGATAGGTGGTGTTTAAAGCTGTGTGTCAGGATGAGATCAGCAAGGGAGAGAGTGTGAGGAGAGGAGCAAAGAGCAGCCAGTTCCTCTAGCGTTTACAAGTTGGAAAAGCCAGCAAGAGATGGAGTGGGTGTGGCAGGAGATACCAAAGAGGAATGGGGAGATATCTAAAGGCAAGGTCGCAGTTCAGCACAGCCTGCCTCTCTCCACCTTCACCTCTACCCAAGCTGGCCCCAAGGCCCTGGGGGCCCCCTTAAAGCCAGCCCTCACATCATCGCTTTGCAGATGGAAGAAATGGCTGTGTCCTCCACGGATTGCTACGAACATCCCCAGAATGTCTGGCCCTTGCACCCCACTTCACTTCCAGACCTTGATCACTTGGCTCACCTACCATGCCCCCCGCTAAGTGTCTGTCTCTCCTTTGTTGAAGGGTTCAGCATGAAGCAGAACTGTCCCCTCCCCTCGGTTAGACTCTCTAACTCTATAAATGCAACCTTAGACAGAATTAGCCTTTCTGGTAGCAGCAAACAGCAGAGATACAAGTGGAGAATGGTAAGGGATCTGGGCTGGTTAAGGGAAGGGCTATGAAGAAAGAAAGTGAGATTGGTAACATCCGAAAAGGGGGTTTGGGATTAGATCGGTGAATGTCCTGATTGCCACACCAAGGAGTTTGGACTGAGGAGGGAAGAAGGATCCACAGAAGGTTCAGGATGATGCAATCAGGTGAGTTTTGCTCCAGGAAAAGCCATGCTACGTTCTGTTCCTGGCCTTGTCCCCAGTTAGCTCTCCCATGCTCACAGGCCAACTCTGGCACCAAGCTGAGGAGAGGCAGGACAGGGAGGCCCTGCTCTGTGGTAGGCAGCCGTAGCAGCTGCAGACACGGAAGCACTAAGGAGCAGGGAGGCTCTGGGGAGGCAGCCACGTCACCGGTCCCTCCACATTTCCACGAGGGCAATGAGCCTTATATTAATGAGAGGTAATTATGGGCACCCGATGGGCCTAAGTATAGCTCATTGACAAAGGCGGTGCGAGGCAGCCAGCTGCTTCCTCCCGCAAGGCCAAGGCTTGCCTATTTTAAGGCCCCTGCCACCCTGGGTGTGGAGTGGCTGAGGGGCTGGTGTCCAGTGGACCAGAAACCCTAACCAAGAGAGCATCATTGCGACCAGACAGATGCTAAGGGCATCCTCTCTCAAAGCCCCTACTGTCAGGAGAAGAAGACTAAGCCCAGAGAGGGGAAGGGACCATTCCCGGGTCACAGCAAGCAAGAAGCAGAGTTAGGATTTGAATCCAGGTTCAACTGCATGGCCTTCCCACCGTGCTGTGCAGCACCCCTAAACTGGAAGCTTTGGGCTCTCCCCATGGACCACAGTATAGTGAGGTGAGGAGTGGAGTGCCACTGATACTTACTGGGCACCTACATGCCGTAGGCTTTGATGGGATATCAGTAAATCCACCTCGTTATCTGGAAAAGTAAGGATCACCAGCCCAGTGTTACAGAAGAAGAAACTGAGACTTGAGAGGAGTAATTAAGTCACCAAATGTCCTGCAGAGAGGAGGGAAAGAAGTAGAGTCCAGTTTGTCCTGCCTTAGGTCAGGTTCCCAGGGAACTCAGATTCAGAGACTCTGAGGTTTGTATGCACAAGCTTCCTGAGATGTGTTTTGGGAATACCTGTAAGAGGTGAGGGGTGCAGGATTGGGTGGAGGGAAGAGCTGACCCTCAGTGCAGCACCACAGAGGCCTCAGCTAATCCCACAGGGAGCTCGGGAGCTGGGATGGCCCTTTAGGGGTTGTTCTGAAATAGGTGAGGGAGATACATCTTGATACCCAAACATCAACTGGCCACTTATTAGACGCAGGGTGCCTCCCAAGATGGAGCTTAACCTTGGGTGTGGCTTCTCCTTTTGGCTGTGAGCTGTCAGCAGCCAGTGCTCTTGGCATCAGGAGACATGGGTGCCCGTCCACCTCCTCTTTCTCATGCATCTGCCTCCCAACAAGAAGAGCTGGCTCCTGCCCTCAGGAAGGCCAGGAGATACTGGAGGGAAGGGAGGCCACCTGTAATAATGAGGAAGGGAAGAGTGAGGGGGTGGCCAGTAATGGAAAAAGAGAAAAACACTACTGAGGCGGGTCTGGCAGCTCAGGCCTATAATCTCAGCACTCCGGGAAGCCAAGGTGGAAGAAACACTTGAGCTCAGGAGTTCAAGGCCACCCTGAGCAAAAGCAACATCCTATCTGTGCCAAAAAAATAGAAAAAATTAGCGAGGTGTAAGGGTGTGCACCTGCAGACCCAACTAGCTACTCGGGAGGCTGAAGCAGGAGGAACAGTTTCAGTGAGCTAGGATCACGCCATTGCACTCTACCTAGGGAGTTGGAGCAAGACTCTGTCTGAAAAAAAGGAAGGAAGAAAAAAGAAAAGAGCCTGCAAGGATATTCACTTCGGCAGCACATATACTAGAATTGGAACAACACGGAGAAGATTAGCATGGCCCTTGCGCACAGACTTTTCTCCAAAAAAGATATACAAATGGCTGATAAGCACATGAAAAGATGCTCAAATCATTAGTCATCAGGGAACTGTGAGTCAAACCCACAATGACATACTAGTTCACACCTACTAGGATGGTAATAATTTATTTTAAAAAGGAAAAGAACAAGTTCTGGCAAGGATGTGGAGAAACTGGTGGAAATGGAAAATGGTGCAGACACCATGTGAAAGAATTTGGTGGTTCCTGAAAAAGTTAGACATAGAATTGCCAGATGATCCAGCAATTCAACTTCCAGGTATACACCCTAAAGAACTGAGAACAGGGACTCACTCTGACAGATAGTAGTATACTAATGTTTATAGCCGCATTATTCACCATAGCCAAAAGGTGAAAACAACCAGTGTGCACCAGCAGACACAGATAAACAGAGTATGTGCTCATCAGTGGAATAGTATGCAGCCATAATGAAGCTACAACATGGCGGAATGTTGAGAACTTCATGCTAAGTAAAATAGGTCAGATACCAGCCTGAGCCAGAGTGAGACCTTGTCTCCTAAAAATAGCTGCTGATTGTGGTGGGCACCTGTAGTCCCAGCTACTCAAGAAGCAAGAGGATCAATTGAGCCCAAGAGTTTGAGGTTGCTGTGGGCTATGACTATACAGCACTCTATCCATGGCAAAAAAGTGAGACTCTTGTTTCAAAAAATAAAATAGGTCAGGTGCAAAATGACAGATGTTGTATATGGTTCCCCTTATTTGTAATCTCTAGATGGTCAAATTCATAGAGATGGAAAGTAGATTAGAAATTATCAGAGCTCAGCGCCTGTGGCTCAAGTGGCTGAGGTGCCAGCCACATACACCTGAGGTGGTGGGTTCAAATCCAGCCTGGGCCTGCCAAAAACAATGACGGCTGCAACCAAAAAATAGCTGGGCATTGTGGTGGGTGCCTGTAGTCCCAGCTACTTGGGAGGCAGAGGCAAGAGAATCGCTGGAGCCCAGGAGTTGGAGGTTGCTGTGAGCTTTGATGCCACAGCACTCTACCCAGGGTGACAGCTTGAGGCTCTGTCTCAAAAAAAAAAAAAAGAAAGAAAGAAAGAAATTATCAGGGTCAGGCTTGGCACCTGTAGCACAGTGGTTACAGTGCCAGCCACATAACACCCAGACTGATGAGTTCGAACCCAGCTGGGGCCGGTTAAACAACAGTAACAACTGCAACAATAACAACAAAAATAGCTGGGTATTATGGCTGGTGTCTGTAGTCCCAGCTATTTGGGAGGCTAAGCCAAGAGAATCACTTAATCCCAAGAGTTTCAAGTTTGCTGTGAGCTGTGATGCCATGGCACTCTACCCAGGGTGACATAGTAAGACTCTGTCTCATAAAAAACAAAAACAAAAAAAAAAAAAAACCCACGAAATTATCAGGGTTTGAGAGAAGGGAAAGAATAAGGCGTTCTTGCTTAGTGATTACAGAGTTTCTGTTTGGAGTGATGCAAAGGTTTCAAAATAGATGGTGGTGGCACAACATTGTAAATATACTTAATCACCTGTGCACTTAAAAATGGTTGAAGTAGCTCAGCACCTGTGGCTCAAGCAGCTAAGGCCAGCCACATACCCCTAAGGTGGCGAGTTCGAATCCAGCCCGGGCCCGCCAAAACAACAATGATGGCTGCAACCAAAATATAGCCAGGCGCTGTGGCAGGCGCCTGTGGTCCCAGCTACTTGGGAGGCTGAGGCAGGAGACTCGCTTGAGCCCAGGAGTTGGAGGTTGCTGTGAGGCCACAGGCACTCTACCCAGGGGGACAGCTTGAGGCTCTGTCTCAAAAAAAAAAAAAAAAAAGGAAAGTGTGCTAGACCCAGCATTAGAAGATGAGGCACCTTCTAGGAGGTGGGTTAAACCTCTAGAACTGTGCTGTCCAACATGGTGCCATGTATATTATTTACGTTAAAATTAATTAAACTTAAATAAAATTTAAAATTTCATTTCTCAGTTGCACTAGTTATATGTCAGATGCTCTATGACCACATGTACCTGGTGGTTACCATATTGGACAGCACAGAATCGGTGGATGATGGGCAAAAAACTAGCAAACAAGTAGACGTGTAAGTTTCTAAGAGCGATGACAACTGTGAAGAAAATCCAGCAGGGCCGGGAGCTTGGCTGCAGGTGGGGAGTGAGAGATGGAGACCGGCAGGAAAAGCTGGCAGTAGCCAGACCTTGCTGGGCCTTATGGACATTTACTCTGCCAGGCATCACCTCGTGTGGTCCCATCCCCCCCACCCTCTGCCCTTCGGCTGGCAAGGGCACCCCCTCACTGTCCCCTCTCTTTGCAGACCCTCTGGTTCAGGGTCTGAGGTTTGCATTTAGAGTCAAGAGACCTGGGTTCCAAGCCTGGCTCTGTGTGGCCTTGTGGTGTCCGTGTCCCTGTGTCCACTGACACTCTTACGGGGAGGCCATGTGGCTGGATCCTGGTGCAGGACTAGAGGTCAGAGTCTAAATGGGTTGCAGGGCCATGTTCCTTCTAGGCTCTCGGGGAGAATCCGTCTCCTTGCCTCTCCAAGGTCTAGAGGCTGCCTGCATGCCATGGCTCATGACCCTGTACCACCCTGACCTCTGCTTCCACAGTCACATCTCTAACTGAGCTTTGTCCCTCTTTCTTATGAAGATTCATGTGATTAGGTTGTCCCCAGATGGATAATATGTGATCATCTCCCCATCTCAAGATCCTTAATTTAATCACATCTGCAAAGTTCCTTTTGACGAGGTCATGGGCCTACTTATGGGCCATCATTCTGCCTTCCACACTTGGCCTCAGCTACAGCTGTGCTCTGACCTGGCCCAGCCCCTCCAGTAGCCTTCCTCTCGTCCTCACTTGCTCTACTCCAGCCACGCTGACCCTTGCTGATCCTTAGCATAGTGGGCACAGGTCAGACCAAACCATGGACTCCCTCAGTAGTCCAAGACTTGGTGGGGTCCACGTCTTAGGAATTGGCTCACCTCCCTTGTGTTCTATGATAGATGGAAAAGTTGAGGCCCAGAAAAGGGAAAGACTTGTCTAAGTTTGGGACTAGTATTTCTAGGATGGAAGACCTGGCAATCAGCCAGTCCAACTGGCCCTGTTTTATAGCAATTCCACGTCACTGCTATCCCCTTGTGAGGCCTGGCCCTGCCCACTTAGCCCTGAAGATGTGCCCTGACTCTCTGAGAACTCTGTTTCGGGCAATCATTGCTTCATCCTTGGGCTGGTTGGCCTCTTTGGTGTCTGTACCCCGAGCACCTAGCCCAGAGGTCACACTCTGCAGGCATTGGTCAGGGACAGAGCAGATTTTTACAGAGGGTTTATATTTGATGTAAGGATTATTCTGCTAAAAAAAAAAAAAAAAGAGAGAGAGAGAGAGAGAGTTGGGCAGTATTGTCCTCAGACCTGGCTGAGATGGGTCCTACTCTTTAGAAGGCCTCCCTGGCTCTTTAAAAGGCCATTCTTCTCCATAAGACAAGGAGCATTCAGGAGCCCAAGGGATGTGCCCACTAGGAGCCTGTATCCCCCTGTAGAACACCTTGGATACTGAGGGCCCCAGGATTCTATGCCCAAATGCCCCCAAGCCTGCTTCCAGGGCTGGCAGGGGATCCTCCCAGGAACAGATGCTGCCAGCGGGACCATCTCAGAGCTGCAGAGGTGGCTGTTTGGGGGCACATGGACCGAACCTGGATGTGGGCTGGGGTACTCTCATGTGTGCAGTTCCTTGTAGTGAGGGACACGGTCAGAGATGGAAAGAGAATGAAGGGTGGGAAGCTCCCCACCCCCACATTCCACCATGGAACTCAGAAGAGACTGAGACCTCTTGGGTTCAAACCTGGCTTTCCAGGTTTTTATCAAGCTAGGAGAGTAGCACATATTTTGTCTGTCCTGTGGTTGGCTAGCTTGAGTTGTAACTTCTCTTTAATACACGTATGTGGAGTGCAGGGGGCCTCCACTTGTACTGCTATCCTCAGCCCCACAGCATTAAGAACAGACTTGCTAGCATCAGAGAGCCTTCCAGCCCTGAGGTCTGAGTCTCCCAGGGCCCTGTCCCCTCCATTCCAGCTGACCAGCTGACTTTTCTCTGTCTTCTCTCCCCAGGGTAGCTGCTGCCCGGGAGAGGCCACCCGGGCGCCCTGCTAGGGCGACAGCCCCTGCCCCTTGGGCCGGGAACATGAAAGGCCTCGGTGACAGCCGCCCCCGCCACCTCTCCGACAGCCTAGACCCACCCCATGAGCCCCTGTTTGCAGGGCCTGACCGCAACCCCTACTTGCTATCGCCCACAGAGGCCTTTGCCCGTGAGGCCCGCTTCCCTGGGCAGAACACTCTGCCGGGGGACGGTCTCTTTCCCCTCAATAACCAGCTGCCACCACCCAGCAGCACCTTCCCCCGCATCCACTACAACTCCCACTTTGAGGTGCCAGAGGAGAGCCCCTTCCCTAGCCATGCCCAAGCCACCAAGATCAACCGGCTGCCCGCCAACCTTCTGGACCAGTTTGAGAAGCAGCTGCCTATCCACCGTGATGGCTTCAGCACCCTCCAGTTCCCCCGGGGCGAAGCCAAGGCCCGTGGTGAGAGCCCAGGCCGCATCCGCCACCTCGTCCACTCAGTCCAGCGGCTCTTCTTCACCAAGGCACCCTCACTGGAGGGCACAGCGGGCAAGGTTGGTGGCAATGGCAGTAAGAAAGGTGGCCTGGAGGACGGCAAGGGCCGGAGGGGCAAAAGCAAAGAGCGGGCCAAAGCTGGGGAGCCCAAACGGCGCAGCCGCTCCAACATCTCGGGCTGGTGGAGCTCTGATGACAACTTGGACGGAGAGGGTGGCGCCTTCCGCAGCAGTGGCCCGGCCTCCGGGCTGATGACACTAGGCCGCCAGGCAGAACGCAGTCAGCCACGCTACTTCATGCACGCCTATAACACCATCAGCGGGCATATGCTCAAAGCCACCAAGAACAACACTACTGAACTTACGGCCCCACCACCCCCACCTGCACCCCCCGCCACCTGCCCCAGCCTTGGGGTGGGCACTG